TTGGGCGCAGTTGGGTGTTCCAACAGGACAATGACCCCAAACACACATCAAAAGTGGTAATGGCTAAATCAGGCTAGAATTAAGGTTTTAGAATGGCCTTCCCAAAGTCCTGACTTAAACCCCATCGAGAACATGTGGACAATGCTGAAGAAACAAGTCCATGTCAGAAAGCCAAAAAATTTAGCTGAACTGCACCGATTCTGTCAAGAGGAGTGGTCAAAGATTCAACCAGAAGCTTGTGGATGGCTACCAAAAGCACCTAATTGAAGTGAAAATGGCCAAGGGACATGTAACCAAATATTTACACAGGCTGTATGTATATTTTTGACCCAGCAGATTTGGTCACATTTTCAGTAGACCCATAATAAATTCATAAAAGAACCAAACTTCATGAATGTTTTTTGTGACAAAATATGTGTTCCAATCACTCTATCACAGAAAAATAAGAGTTGTAGAAATTATTGGAAACTCAAGACGGCCATGACATTATGTTCTTTACAAGTGTATGTAAACTTTGGACCACAACTGTGTGTTTATGACAAAAACGTGTTTTATAAGGTCACCTCTGACCACTAAAATCTAATCAGTTCAAACACTCACCAAGCAAATACACTTCCTAACTTTATAGTACAATCACTACAGGATATCCTATTATCATCATTTATCTATGTCATTTTATTTTCTCCTCTCCTCTTCTCAATATCTCACCTCCAGCTTATTAAATCTCATGTGATTGCCCATGATGTGGAAATCCACAGCCCTGGGACCTCTGTAACCTTTGACCCTGTGAGCGTTGAATGGCAGCGGGTAGCCCAGCTGGTAGCCCATTGCAGTGTACTGCTGGTCCAAATACGACACTCATGATCATGTCAAACCTCGGTTCTTCTTGAGTATAGGCCAATCCATGTTATCAGTTCTAAAGACTGGACTACTTGCATGACTTATTGGTCTCTTAATAGGATCGGTTGCTTTCGTTCTGAGTCTGGTTCTATTGCAATTTCCGTTTTCTCCAACTTTGTGAGTAATCGCTTGCCCGATTTTTGATACGAAGCTCTTTGCCAGGTTTTGTTTTTTTTTTGTTACTGTTGAACACATTTACTTTTCGTGCATGTCTTGTTCGTAGTCGAGCTTCCGATCTTGGCTTTCGCATATGTCTGTTTTGTAGAATTGATTTGTTAAACTGCCGGCTGTTTTTTTTGTGTTAAGCGGCCAAATTAATGTTTTTGCTTTGTCTCCCTCTTACTTGTCTGAGAATATTTTATCTTTTCGCTAATTGTGCAGAGCTGCGCTTTTTCCTTGCGGGTCAGCTTGCTGTATGTAGGTGCTTTCGTGCTGTTGTGTCCCTTTTATTCAGTATCGGTTTCTATGGTTATATAAACAGTTGTGGGTGGCGATTGTTCGTTCTTTTGTTGCCAGTTCGCTTGGTGCTCCAGACTTTGTCGGTGAGATTAAACTTGTCGCTCTTCTGACTAGTTTTTGGGTCGCGTGTTGATTGTTTGTTTGTTGTTTTTTTTTTGCTCTCACATACTGTGAATTTCAGCTTTTTAATTCGATAGGCAGTGCATATGGTGTCGTCTTAGGTTTTCCTTCTTGCGTGTCTTTGTCTCCCTTTCTTATTGTTGTGCTTCGTGTGAATTAGTGTTGTATTCGGTATTTCTGTATTTTGTTTATTAGTTTTGCGTTGTTTTATGGTGTTTGTTGTTAGGAGCTTATTTTGGTTAGCGCTTTGCTCGCGTATTGTAAAGGGCAATATACAAGATATAACTTGAGTTTTGATTTGATTGTTGATTTTTGACTGCATAGTGACAGTGATGTGGCGGCATGAGCATTCGTGTTTGTTGTTGACAGCGGCCTCACAAAATATGAAGCCTTAAAATATCGCTATCCCTATCTTACCCCCAGAAACTGGCTTGCTGCAGTACAGGATTAATGATGTGAGTCCTATTAACACTGGGACAAAAGGCTAAAAAATAACATACATTGTTTGGAATGCGAAATTGGTATATGAAATAATGTACATATTTACTTGCTATGTGTAAAAGTAAAATTTTATTTTACCCAATTTTTATTTCCTAATATAGCATCTGGCCCTCACAAATGTCATGCAGAGATATAATTCTGGCACTTGGGACAAATGTAGTTGGATGACCCCCTGGCCCTGGGATGGCATTTTACCTTGGCCTCCTAGCCACCGGACTGTCAGGAATTCTGGAGTTATCCTTGTGAATTCAAGGACATGTCATTTAAGTTCGCCATCATAATAGCAAACCTCCAGGACTTGCCTTTTTTCATCATACTTAATATTACCAAATACATTAGACACCTGGTTACTTCTAGCGCTTGGGACTTACTGCCAACTCCTTTTATTTTACTCAGTCGCTGCCAATAAGTCCGATTAAGTACGCTTCAGTTATATTCAGAACGCTGCAAATCACACGACTTACTGACAGGAACTAGGGAGGAAAAGAGATCAACATCATCTCCTCGTACTAGCTTTCTCTGCACTGGCCTCCCTGTTAAAATTGTAGCATGAGAACCTGGCGAAGATGAGTAAAGCAGCAAGAACTCGCGGGAAGAAGTGAAGTTTAGGTAACATGCCATTTAATGGCGACAGTGACGTGAGCTGCAGAAAGAGGAGAGAGGAGGAAGAGAGGAGCTCCAGTGCCACCATGGGAGATGCCCCCGATAAGTCTAGGGCCTTATAGCCAGCGATAACTAAGGCGTGAGTCCTTTAACCATCCGCCTTAACTATAAGCTTTATCAAAATAGTTGAACGCGTCTGTAAGCCTACTCTTAAATGTGGATTTGAGGGTGTCTGCCTCGCAGAACACAACATACTGGGAAGCTGCGTTGCCACAAAGAGAGAATACGCTTGGCTAAACTGGAAGGGCTCTGGCTTCCTGTGTCTACTTTTTGAAGACTATAAGAACCACCAAGTAGCCCTGCATTCCAGAGAACGCAGTGTGTTCTCAGTGGGGGGGGTAAATAGGGTACTAGTGAGCTCTTCAAGAGTATGAAGGGGCACCCTGACCATGAAGAGCTTTATAGGTTGGAGCGAGAGTATTTTAAGGGATTGGCTATGTCTAAATTTTAGCAGGGAGCCAGTGCAGGAGAAGCTAGTACAGGGAGAAGAATGTGATCTCTTTTCTAGTTCCTGTCACGTACTCGTGCTGCAAGCATTTTGAATTTAATTGGAGCGTCTTAATGGAACTTATTAGGGCAACCTGATTGATAAAGAGTTGCCAGTATCCAGCCCTAAGAAGTGACAAATGCATGGATTAGTTTTTTGATGCGCATCTGTCTGTGATTAGGATGTGTGCTGATTTTTGCTAAATATTACGTTAAAATGGGAAAAAGGCAGTCCTAGAGGATCTGCTTTATGTGGGAATTAAAAGGACAAATCCTGGAGTCACAAAGATAAACTCCAAGAATTCCCCTGACAGTCGGTGCTATTTGAGGCCAAAGGTAATGCCAGTCTAGAGAGTTAGCTATATCTTTAGACCAGTGATTCTCTAAGAGTGTTTGAGGTTCCAAGTACAGAGAATTTAAGGTTTTTTTCAGGAGTTTAAGCCATCAGAAAGTTTGCAGCTCATCCAGGTATTTATGTCCTTAAGACATGTTTGTAAATTTAGCGATAATTGATTAATTTGCATCGGGCGTTTGAACTCGATAGAATAAAACTGCCGTATTGTATCTTAGCATAGCACAATGGAAAGTTAAATGGGAGTGATTCCTAATAATGTTGCCTAAAGGGGAGCATGATATAAGAGCGTACAGTAGTAGTTGGTCCAAGTACAGAACCTTTGTGGAACTCCATGACTAACGGTAGTATTATATTGAACATTCATCGATTAACATGTACAAACTCGCGAAACGATCTGATAAGTGATGACTTTAAACCAGCTTAGTGCGGTTCCTGTAATGCCAATTAGATGCTCAAGTCTCTGTAAAAAAGAATATTATTGTCAATGGTGTCAATGCAGCACTAAGATCTAATAATACAAGTACAAGTCCATTGTCAGAAGCAATCAACAGGTCAATTACTAACTTTAACCAGAGAGCTGTCGTCTGTGCTGTGATGAACTCTAATCCGCTGACTGAAAAATCCTCAAATAAACTATTGTTATGTAGAAAGTCACAAACACTGTTTGGCGAATACTTTCTCCAGAATTAGAGAAGGAAGGGGAGTTTAGAAATCAGTCTATAGTTGGCTAAAACCCCTGGGTC